TTGCATATTTTGATCTAATCTTGCACCAAATGTACGTTAAGATGGCATTCTTAAATGGTGACTTGGAAGAATGCATCTACATGAAGTAACCAGATGGATTCATAGAAGAAGGGAATGAAAATTCAGTTTGTAGATTGAAAAAGTCAATATATGGGTTAAAATAAGCATCGAGACAATGGTATCTCAAGTTTCATAGAGTTGTTAAAGAGAATGGCTTTGTTGAGAATCTTTCTGATAACTACATATACTTAAGGATTAGTGGGAGTAGTAATATTGGTCCTTTATGTGGATGATAGACTACTTGCAACGAACATAGCTAGCTTATTAGATGAAACCAAGAAATTGTTGCAAGAAAACTTTGAAATGAAAGAAAAAGGGTTACATCGACAAGGTTTTAAAAAGATTCAACATGGCTTCTTGTGGCACTACTGAAATGCCAATTTCAAAGGGTGAAAAATTAAGCAAACAAAGGCAATTTCAAGTCCTTCCGTAGTAATTGTGAGCATTGAGTAGTTTATTAATTAGTATAGTGGTGCCACATTTAGGAGAGACTTGCCCCGAAGATATCAGAGGCCAAGCAAGGCAGGTGCTACGACCCGATGATGTAGTAGTGAGTGAGTTTTGTTTGCAAACCTATACTATATAGTTTACATAATGGCTTTTATGGAATGTTTATATATCATGTCATTCTTTTACTTATAAACATAAGTACTAGCGATGATGTTGAGATTTGTAAAATTATGATTGTTGGTCAAAAATATTGTATCTGCTCATTATGCATGTTTATATTGGTATGTATAGTACTTATCCTGGCCAAGAGCACCTTCATGTGTATGTTCATGTCGCACCTTTACACTAACATTGGGTCAATTATGGGTACTAGTGTACTCATTGTTTTTACATCTAGGACTCTTATATGACACGCTTAACGCTAGCTTAGCGTGTATGTTTACTCGAGCTAAGCCTGGAAAATGGGACCGTGTTTGCTAAGTTTATGTAACACATGTTATCTTAATGAGTCATATTGTGTCACACCCATTATCTTAACGGGTTCTTAACTTGTCTGTCATTTTACCCAACAGGTAAAATGACTCGACCCATTAAGAAAAATATATTTTTTTTTCTAAATTTGCACACACCACTTTGCAACATAAATATTACTTCAAATCATAAAAACACATTTGTTGTTAAGTATTGCATATTCCAAAATAAGAGCCCAATAAAAAACAATATCAGTATACACTACTACAAGAATGAAGTGGGTGGCCGTGGACTCGTGGCTGGCCGAAGTTATGGTTCGAGGCTGAGATTCAAGAGTTTAGTAAGAAAAAGAGAGTGGCTGCTTCGATTTGAGCCTTCTAGAATAAGCAAGAGTCTGATTTAGGGTTCAGATAGATATTGGCAAGATTAAATCTCAGCCGATCCAACGGTCATGAATTTTCTAAATTTAATTTATATATACATATATATATTTATATTTTAACTTTATGTTCGGTTTGGGATTAAATCCTACTGCTATTAATTATAGTAATTTTTTTAATGGTATAAAATTATTAAATTACTATTTTTCTTATAGAATAACGGGTTACCTACATGTATACCTGGACAGACCTGTTATCTTAACAAGTGCTTATCGGGTTACCTGAAAATGACCTCGATTTATTATCGTGTCAACCCGAAAACTTGTTAATTTTGTGTCGTTTCATGTCACGTTAACAAGCCGTGTTAGAAATTTCTAGGCCGAACTCGAGCATAGATTATTACATCCAGCCTATTCATGTAGCTACTTTCTGCATGAATTTGTCTGCATTTTTATGAGTAAATTGTGTTATATTGTTGAGATATTTGCGATTTCTGTGATGACCCGTCCCAATTTATGGTATATATTTTATCCCCGAGTATGTAAACTGACGATTATGCCCTCGTTGGCTTAGTGACGTGGATGTACATTTATAGTTTTAAATTATTTTTCCAGCCAATGTGATTAAATTATACATGACGTTATGAGAACGTTGATGCGAGTTAGGCTCGAATTGGAATTGTGATGAGGGGGTTACGAACGAATAGGTGTAAGTGGGTAGAGTTATAGTTTTGGGTTCTCCATAACCTATCCACCAATTATCTTCTTTTCCTACAACCTTGGACCCAACTAGAATTTTAGACTTGTTTTACTTCTTTTGGACCAATTGTCCCCCTAAATCACATAGCCCAATCAGGGCTTATGATCTTTTTATGCTACCCAATCCAATAACCTACATGGACACACCCACACACACACATACGTAACTCTCACCCTCACCATTTGTCTCGAATTTTCTATCGTTTGTATGACTGAGCCTTCCAACCTTTAAATACCAACGTCATGGATCGAACCCACTGAGGTTATGATCACCCTCATCTTGACTTCACAAGCCTGGTGGTACTGTTGGTTTGAAGAAAGGACTTCAAAAACCTGAGAACACACGAGGTTTTACAAGGTTTTAAGGTTCTAAAGGGTTATAATCAACTCTAATGGGACCCTAGGTTAGTTTTGGAGTGATAGAACATCGGGATAAAAAGGATTCACAGACTTGCAGGTTTAGCCGGAGGTTTTGAAGGTTTTTCTGACCACTTTTCGTCGGTTTTAGGACTTCAAATAGGTATGGTTGTGTTCTATACTTTAAGAGCTTTGAATCCATATCAAATTTGTGAATTTTGGTTGAGAAATGAGAGAGATATTTAAGTTTTAGATTTTTCCACAAATCGGTGATGCAGCGGCATTGGTGCTGGAATTCAACGAACCACCAGAGAAGAAAGAAGAATATTCTATCAACTTTGATGGAATATACTAACGGCGTCAGGTAAATATAATGGTATATGCTTCTATTTAACGGAATATTCCCTAACGCTGTTAGGGATTCTGTTAGTGTGCCAGGCACGTGCTTGCGAGTGGTCGGTGCGTGTGGTCATGCCTTGGCTGACGCGTGAGGGTGCATAGGGCGTCGAAAAATTATTCTAAAAATATGGAGATGCTCGTGATGTTGAGTAGGCCACGATGACATATTCAAATACCCCAATTGAGCAACTAATGAGAAGTTGTTACATGGTTTTGGTTATGTGCTTAAAATTAACGTTAAAATAGTTGTTTCACATATAGGTAAGACGTTTTCGGAGGACGAGCGCAGCCAAGCGAGACTTGGGGGTTACGACCCTGCTACATACGAGTGAGTGGGCTTTTGGTTTATATATATATATATATATATATATATATATATGCGTTTCCCAGAATTTGTTTTTAAACAAAATTTTGTTTAAAATGCCATGTCATGTTTGCTTTACATTTTAGCATATGCATTAGTATAGCTTTGCGTAATATTGCATGATGTTGTGGAGGTCCAGGTAAGTTCAGGTGAGTTTATATTGACGGTATGGTTGCATGGTAGTTGATTATGAGTTGATGCACGTAAAGCTCATTGTCCTGTACCCCGGTGTTAATGCGCACCCTAGAAAGGTTGAGCTACGCCAAACAGCCTAAGTATAACGCCCACACACCTTCCCAGCAGCACAGGTGTTAGAGTTGTAATTATAGTTAGCTTTCTCACTCACAAATAAGTTCACGGCAGCCGTGCCCGACAAGTCACCGGTGCTCTTTGCTATGTTTTCGCCATAGGGCCCACCAGAATGCACAAGATTGTAGCCACTGATGCGGGAGTTAGCGTATCTTTGTGCATAATTGGCTAAGTTGGTATCCCATGACAAGGGAGCAACGCCCATCTGTGCTCGAGCGGCGTTGTGGGCATTGAGGTAGTCTTGTGGTGAGTCTTGGGCATGGGAGGATGGGAGTAAGGTTAAGCTTATAATATTGGTTGCTACTCACACTGCAAATATTTGAAATGGGAAGTGTAGCATGTAGTATTTATAATGAAAAAGGAGAAAGGGGATTGCATTTTCCATGGACATACCAAAATTCCAACCATGTTGATTTGATATGGTATATCAAGATATAATGTGTTGATGTGACGTATCAATTTCATATTTATATTTAATTAATTAGAAGTATTTTATCAATATCCCATATAAGTCTTGTTTTGGACTCAACTAGTTAACATATATTTTATTATCACTTCAAAAGTCATTCTAATGGTAGGGTACCAGTGTATGATGACGTCGTATAAACACCAGTGTATGATGACATTATTTTTCTCTCTTTGTGCGCAATGTCGTCATGATCTAAATGGAGGCAATCTAAATCCCGATGATTGAAGGATTATATTGACAAAGAGTGTTGTTAAACCCATCATATAATGACATATTTATTCTTTTACAAAAAGACTTTTAAACCCCTATGTAGTCCTACGTAGCAGTCAACGCTACTATTTTTGTAACGACCATGATTGAGTGGTGTGAAAATTTTAAGTTTGTTTGAATGTATTTTTCATAGATTGATTGAATGTACAAAGGGGGATATATAATGAGGTAGAAGGTTACAAGAAACCCTACCTTGGCAAATCCTACTAACCCAGTAAACCCTAAAGCTATACTCCTTAAATTAAGGAGTGCAGCAAGTAGCTAGCACACAACTATCAACAAGTCATCTAGATGTCAATCTTCCTCAAATTAAGGGATTAGACTTAATAGAGAATCCCATGGAAAGAGGGAACATAAAATCTGGTAGCATCAGTCACCCCATATCGTTTAATATCCATATGCAGCATCAGTCACCCCATATCATTTAATATTCCCCCTCAAGCTAGATTGAGGATATTGATTGAGCCAAACTTGTCAAGGAGATGCTGAAAAGGAACTGAGGAAAATGCTTTTGTGAATACATCTGCCAGTTGATCATGACTGCGAGTATAAATGGTTTGAATAACATGGGATTGAACTTGTGCCCTAATGTAGTGATATTCCACCTCAATATGTTTGGTCCTTTCATGGAATATGAGGTTAGCAGTGATATGCATGGCTGCTTGATTGTCACACATGAGTGACATTGGAGTAGAACTAGAGAATCCCAAGTCTCAAAGTAACCCATTGAGCCAAATTAAATCACATGTTATCGATGCCATTGCACGATATTCAGCCTCTGCACTAGAATGTACAATAACCTGTTGTTTTTTGCTTTTCCATGTGACGATGTTTCCTCCAATAAACGTACAATAGCCAGCAGTAAACTTCTTATCAATTGCATTTCCGGCCCAATCTGCATCGGTGTAGCCACTGATTTGAGTGGATTGATTGTTCTTCATAAGAATGCCTCTACCTAAAGCTTTGAGGTAGCGTAGAATTCTTTTAACAATGAGAAGATGTTTCACAGATGGTGCATGCATGAATTGGCTAACCAGTCTCACAGCATAGGTGATATTCGGTTTGGTTATGGTAAGGTATATAAGCTTTCCAACTAACCTTTGGTAGTGACTTACATGGGTAAGAGGTTCTCCATCCATCTCAAGCTTTAGCTTACTATCAAGGGGAGTGATAGCAGGCTTGCAATCAAGTAATTCAGCCTCAGTAAGAAGATCCACAACATATTTGCATTGATTTAAAAACAAACCCTTTTGAGATGTTTCCATTTTAATGCCAAGGAAGCATATTAGTCTCCCCAGGTCCTTTATGGCAAAGGTGTGATTGAGAGATTTCTTGAGAGCTTCAATTTCAACTTCATTTTCACTTGTGATGAGATCGTCCACATAGACAAGAACCACCAATATACCAGCTGATCCTTTATGAGTGAATAAGGATGAGTCAGCATTACTTTGAACAAAACCAGTAGCTTCCAACATTGAACTCAACTAAGCATACCATGCACATGAAGATTGTTTCAAACCATAGATTGCTTTGTGCAATCAACACACCATATCATTTTTACCTTGAGAAGAACCAGGTGAAAGTTGCATATATACTTCTTCTTGTGAATCCCTATGAAGGAACGCATTTTTTACATCCATTTGATACAATGGCCAGCCACAATTCATAGCCACTAAAAGAATAATCTTAACGAAGTTCATTTTGGCTATAGGAGCAAGTGTCTCCTTGTAGTCTACCCCAAACATTTGAGTGAAACCACGTGCAACCAATATGGCCTTGTGACATTCAATTGATCCATCAGCCTTGAACTTTGTTTTATAGATTCATCGCATTTCTCCACTCAGGGATTAGTTGAGCCTCTTGAAAGGTTCGTGGTTCAATGTGATGAGAGATTTCAACCAGGAATGTGGCATGATTGGGGTGAACACGACTATAACTCAGCACCTCATTGATGGGGTGTTTGGAAGCAAAGGTGACATAGTCTCGGAGCCTTGCTGGAGGTTGTTGAGCACGCACAGGATTACTCCTTGTAAAAGGTAAAGTAAGAGCCTCTTCGTGACTTTCATCTTGAGTAGACTCAGTACCATCCTCCAGGTTTCTTGGTTGAGAAGACACATGAGTAGTTTCACTCACAATCTCTGCTTGTTCATGATTGCTAGTGGCTTCTAGATCCAAGTGCGCTGAGTCATCAATGCATGTAAGCAAGGGAAATAAATCACACATTAGCTCCTCTTCTTGGGAGTGAGCAGCCTCCTTGGAGAAATAGGGAAATGTTTCCTTAAATCTCACATCCCTAGACACAAGCATCTTGTTAGTAATATGACGAAAACATTTGTAACCTTTTTGGGAGGATGAATATCCCATGAAAACACACTTTGCAGCCCTGACATCCAGTTTGTCATGGTGCAATGCTTGAACATGAACAAAGCACGTGTAGCCAAAGACTCTCAAATGTGATAAAGTTATATGTCTTCCTTTAATAGTTTCATAAGGAGACTTAAACTCTAAAACACGATTGGGCAATCTATTGATTAAATAGGTTGTAGTGAGAATGGCATGTGACCAAAATTTCTTTAGTATGTTCATATGCAACATCAATGCACGAGTCTTCTTAAGTAAATCCCTGTTTTTTCTTTTAGAGATCCCATTTTTTTGTGGGGTTCCTTCACAACTTGTCTGGTGAACAATACCATAAGAGCTCAAATATTGACTCATATTGCTGGATAAGAACTCAATGCCATTGTCGGTTCTTAGGTTCTGAATGGTTAACTAAATTGAGTTATGACAAGTTGATGAAAGTCTTTGAACATAGTGAAGACATCCTTTTTTTTTATTTTTTTATGTTTTTTTATTTTAACAGATATAGCCATGTTCTTCTAGAAAGATCATCCATAAAGATAACAATATATTTATATCCATCAAAAGATTCAATAGTTGGACCCCAAACATCGGAGTGTACAAGTTTGAAAAGTTTGCTAGAACTATACATTAAGGAACTAAAAGGAGCCTAGGAAACTTAGAGAACTGACATGTATCACACATTACAGATGATTGATACTTTTTGGGAAAGAGTTTAAGCAAAACAATCTCTTATGGATGGGCTAATCTTTATGCCAGATTTGTTGCTTTGACTAAACAAGGTTCCTTGCATAGATAGTAAAGACCATTCAGGAAGAAACCTTCACCAATCGTCTTCTTGGTGAGAGAATCCTGAAACATAACACTACTTGGTGAGAAAGTGACAAGACAATTTAGGGTTCTAGTGATCTTTCCTATTGACAGAAGTTGAAAAGGAAAGGTAGGAACAAACAATGCAGTAGAGTCAAGGTTGTTTGAAAGCAACTTTACTTTGCCCACTCCCAAAACCATGGCCTTTTTTCCATCAGCAACTGACACGTGAAAGGGTTTTGAAAAAGTTTGAAATTTTTTTAAGTTTGAGGCTTTGTTTGTCATATGGTTAGTGGCTTCTAAGTCAATAATCCAACAATGTTCAATACCAGTGTGAAGAGCAATTGAGAATGAACTAAATATACTTGGAGCTTTGCTCCTTGGTAAATTCTCATTTTCAGCAAGGAAACCTGCGAACTGTCTCAGTAGCGCAATGGGATTTTCAGTTGTACCCCTTAAGCTTGTTACAACTTCTCTATGTCCCTTGGTTTGCATGTATGTTGCAAAGTCATTTATAAGCGAGACAGAATTTGAAGTGAAGTTCTGAATGCTCTCAAGGAATGAGGTATAGCTATGATTTGTTGCATGTTAAGGTTTGTATGAGCCAGTATGGAATTGCCTTGAAGGAATCATTATGTGATCCTTGTTGAAATTAGGTTTCAGTTCGGGGTGCAAAATCCAGCACCTTTCCTCCATGTGACATACAACATCACAGTAAATGCACATCAAGTGTGGATTTTTACCCTTGTAAGGCTTGTTGTCTGAGGGTTTATCTTTCGCAACATAGACTCTTAACTCAGAAATCTTGGAATTCTTCTCCAAATTCATCACCCTTCTTCGAGCTTCCTCACGTTGAACCGTGTCACACACAGTTTTGAAAGAAGGAAGTTTGACATTCATTAGGATATGACTCCTGAGATCCTCATAGTCCGAGTTCAAACTCACAAGCAGCTGATATATCTTGTTTTCTTCAGCTCTTTTCAAAAAAACTGCAGTATCAATGGTGTGAGGTACATAAACATCTAACTCATTCCACGTAGTCTTGAGACTTCCCCGGTGCTGCACAAAGATTTTTCCATCTTGTTGAAGACTAACAATGTCCCTCTTTAGCTGAAACACTTGTGCATAATTATTTTGATTCTCGTACATGTCCTTCACAGATTTCCACATATCGTGTGAGGACTCGGAATAGCTGAAGATTTCAGCAATATGTTTCTCCATTGAGTTGAAAAGCATTGACATGACTTGTTAGTCCTTATACAACCATGCTTTATATGCTTGGGTAGAAGGCTCGGATGCATCAACTCCTCCATTGATGAACCCTAACTTTCCTCTTCCACCGAGAGCAAGAGACACTGCTCTAGACCATGGGAGATAGTTGAATTCATTCAACAAAACTGAGCATAAACGCATATTCGTATTTATCTCCATATCTAGAACAAAAGAGGGAGAACTTTATGAGTTTTCTCCCCCAAGGTTTACTGAACTTTCTTTAGCAATAAATGGAGCTTGAAGATGAACAACAGCGGAAAAAAAAAAAAGGCAGAGACAGGTCAAGGATGACACTGCTCTGATACCATGTGGAAATTTTAAGTTTGTTTAAATGTATTTTTCATAGATTGATTGAATGTACAAAAGGGGATATATAATGAGGTTGAAGGTTATAAGCAACCTTACCTTGGCAAATCCTGCTAACTTGGTAAACCCTAAAGCTATCACTCCTTAAATTAAAGGAGTGCAGCAAGTAGCTAGCGCATAAATATCAACAAGTCATCTAGATGTCAATCTTTCTCAAATTAAGGGATTAGACTTAATAGAGAATCCCATGAAAAAAGGGAACATAAAATCTGGCAACATTAGTCACCCCATATCGTCTAATATCTATATCCAGCATCAGTCACCCCATATCGTCTAATAAGTGGATTTGATCATACGGCTGGTGAAATAAAAGAGGGGGAAAAGAGAAAACGGGGTGACCTGCCATTATTAAGTAATCACTTCCCATCGTCCTCAGTGACATCGATATGCAAAAGTGGATATTGGTAAGGCTTGAACTTGAGGCAGGTGTGAAGGGTCTGGGTGTCAACTAGGGATGGATTCGACAAGATGCACTTAAGTTTAAGAAAGACAGCAGCAAAGCACCAACTCATGATTTTCCCTAAAATGCTTCCATCTTTCCAACGCCAAGAAGCTTACAACCTCATTGAAAGTCATTGGTGGGTTATTTTGAATCCAAAGTTGAGAACCAACGACTTGCACAGAAAATACAAACCACCAACTAAACCACAATAGCCGGACCACGACCCATCACCCAAATCCAAAGATTCATTAAAAATCATGTGGATGTGTGGCTAGAGTATAAAAACAACTCCACCTGGAGCTCTAGCCCGATGAACCGGCTGCATTTCCTACCCAATAGCCCCAACTCCTTGCCCCAACCCATGCGGGCGATTGGTCTAAGGGGGGGCTCGAGTGAGAGGCCTGACTCGAATCGGTGGCTTGGGAGCCAAAAGTCTGAAATGTTACCATTGGTGGGCCACGTGGCACATTATCTTCTGTTATATTTCAACGGAAGCTTTTTCTGGACAGTTGGATTTCCAACGGTCAAACAAAATTTCAAACCTTCCGCAATATCAACCATTAGATTTAAGATCAACAGTCCACATTATTCGCCTTTAAAAAATTAAAAAAAAATCATATATGTTACCGTTGTGCCACGTGGCACAATCTAAAGGCCTAGATTTCAATTTTTTTTTTAATCCAACGGCAAAAATTAATCAAGTTAGTAAAAAAAATAATAAAAATGTTAAAAATTAATAAAAAAATCCAAATTTTTTTTTAATTAAAAAAAATTGATTTTAATTTTCTATAAATACCTTCTCATTATCTTCTACCTTACAACACAATTTCATATTTTCTCAAATACTTTCAACCACATTCCAATCTTTCTCTCAAAGTTTCAATCCAACTAATTTCGAACAAAATGACTAATGATGCAGGTACGAATTGGACGCTTATTGAAGATGTTACGTTATGTTCTAGCTAGGTTAAAGTTACTCATGATTCGATTACAGGTAATGAGATGCAGTTGAGAGAAATGTGGAGTCTTATTCATACCCTTTTTCTTGAGAAAATTGGTGGGAAAAGAATGAAAGAATCGATGTCCAGTCGTTGGAGAACACTTAGCCAATCGTTTAGTTATTAGAGAGATGCCTTGACACAAGCTAGTAGTAATATTCAAGTGAGGAAAATTTCGCAGATCAAGTAACAATATATTATTTATTTGTTTGTACTATACCCAAATTTA